GCAAACAGTTAGAGCTGATATAACATCAGCAATTCCAGTCACTCAAGCATATTGAGTACATAAAAACCAGAAACATATTATTCCGAAAAATTCTCAGAAAGTCGGCAGAGAAGTCGCCACAAAAAAAGGAAATGTGTACTGCCTATGGGGGACAACAATAAAAGATATATTCTGCCCTGAAAGGCAGATACACAGTAGATGTGCTCCCAGGCTAATCCCGGAGCACGGCCGGTAGTGTAGTGGGTAGCATGATGTGTCCGGATGTGAAGGAGAGTAGTTCGATACCCTCTTGGTCCATAATTATTTTCGAAAAGGGCTCCGTTCACGACAATAAGTGTAGCAAATTGAAAATGGTTGATGTTGCTCCACTGTCAAATGGGAAAATGTAATATGATAACACACGACACCCATCCCCTAACCAAGCAACGCCACCACTGAGCTGCGTTAGGCCGCTCAGCGGGGCCTGTCGACCACGTGTGTCTTATGGTACCGTACTCACGAAATTCCGCTTTGTAATTGTGCTCTATAATGCAGATCGTGACCTACCTTTTTGATCTGCCCCCGACCTACTTTGATCTACTTTTGATCTATCATTGATTTACTTTGATCTACCTCTTTGATCTACCCTTGATCTACTTTGATCTATCCCACTTGACCTCACTCGACGTGCCGTAATATAATGAAAGCGCGGTGGTTTAGTGGTTTCATAAACCACTGTGGTGTAGAACTAGGAAATCATGCAAATTTCTTTGCGAGAAACGATTTGATGATCTAGACAAGATAGAAAGCTGAAATTTTGCAGGAATATTCTCTGTGCATGTATGAGCTAAAGATTTCAAATTCAGCTATTGCGCACGTTTATACCGCGCGTACGGCTATGGCAAAGTCCGCCGTTGGCACTGTGCTAACTCGAAAACTAGCCGGAAAACAGTAGCTGAAATTTTGTCAGAAAGTTGTATGCCTAGACTGAGTTTCGATTTGCACTTGCACCACGACTTATGGCACTTCAAAGATATTTGTAGCGAAGTGGCTATTTCGCTTACCAAGTAAGTTTGTACCGCGCGTACAGCTATGTCAAAGTTCGCCGTTGGCACTGTGCTAACTCGAAAACTAGCCGGAAAACAGAAAGCTGAGATTTTGTCAGAATATCTATCGCTCGTATAAAATTCTTTGTATGCCTAGACTGAGTTTCGATTTGCACTTGCGCCACGACTTATGGCACTTCGAAGATATTTGTAGCGAAGTGGCTATTTCGCTCACCAAGTAAGGTGCAAAGCTCACTTTGTAAGGGTATTTTTTCACGTGGTCTTAATTCAGCTTGGAGGTGAAATTCCCTGCACGTAGACGCGACAAATATTCAACTTCGTCGCATACTCAAGAGCGAGTGCATTTTGAGGATTTCATAATCCTCAAAATTGCATTTTTTTTTAACGAATGACCATTCAACGGAAAAACGACCGGGCTTCATGCAAAAAGCGATAATCATGCACGCTGGAAGTCTATGCAGCCCCACAATGCAACACCTTCATCCCAGTCCGCGCCCTTCTCCCTTCGACTGTTTTTTTTGGAGTTTCCTATTGTTATTCTAAATGACCTCCACAAATGCTTTAATAAAGTGGAGGCAACAGCAGCTTCATATACGCGATAAAAATGATGTCAAAAAGAGGTGGAGGCTGCAGCCTCGGCTTGCTATGGATGACCGAGGAGTAGCTTCAGCCGGCAGCAAATATCGCCGCTTGGTGTTTGTGCCTCGACAGCCAAACTGTCTGCAGGAATACCTCCGCCTGGTGGGGAAGGAGCAAGACAAGTGCTTCTCCGTCGAGTAAAAATGTTGACACAGATTTATTTGCCGAAAAAATCGGCCACTGGGCCCTTCTGAAGTTCCACCTCACTTCAACTGGGTTCAGTTTACAACAGAAATTGAATACATAATTAACTGTCGGTGCCGCTGTTGACAGAGGCACCGTTATTACAAAGGGAATATTTTTTTGGTTATCGCGAAGCACAAATTTTATGCTAATTCCTACCTTTTTTCTTCTTTCGTTTAATTTTTCCCTTCGAACCATTTTCCCTAGACATCCCTGCATGCAGAAAGGAGTAAAAACACAGCCAGTATGAGTCTAAGTGTTAAACAACAGCGCAGGAACAAATTCCTGCTGTTGATGATTTGCAAGCTTAGCGCAAAAACGCATGATCGCATCGGC